TGCTGAAGGAGGAGATGCTGGGGAGACAGTCAGGTACAAGTTGGCTGAAAACGGGACGCACAACGGCTATGTCACCCTCGATGAAGAGAAAGGTAGGGTTTTTTTTGATTTTTTTCCATAATCGCAAAAGTCCTTTCTCTTCTCTAATATCGTATGCTAAGAAAGTGACGTCCTGTCTAGGATAACTATCATATCACTGGATTTCAAGGAATTATCGTCACTTTTAAATTTTCCTTCCTAAGCCTGTATGATTGTGTGGGCCAGAATCTCTTAAACACTGAGGGGTTGTAAATGTCTGAGAGCATAGTTAGACCTGAACTTCCACCTTCAGCCACCGGATGTTCTGATATTGTTTTACAACGGAAAAGATGAGAAAGGGATTTGCGATGCAAATCGAACGAAGAATTGTTGAAATTGCTCTCCCTCCAATTGCATCGGGTTGTTATTGTTGTTTATAGCATGACAATTATATGTATGACTTTACTGAATATCCTAAAACTGACAACTCAGCAATGAATTCCATCTCATGTGAGGAGGGTACTTTTGTAGGAATTCTCACCTTGGCCAAGGGACTTGACTACGAGAAGGAGAAGTTGCTATCCTTGACCATTATTGCGACTGATTCTGGATCGCCACCTCTCTCATCGGAGGCCGTCGTGACTGTACAGGTGTGTTACTAAAGTTCATTATAAATCTGTTTTCATGCTACCAAACTCACCTCTCCCACTTTCCTGATAGGGTGCGAAACCGACAGTGGAGCTAGCTGTATGATTATACCTCAGAGTCGAGTTGCTTGAAAGTGCTGCTTAAAGTGGGTGAAGAGCTTCATCTAAGGCTGAATATAGACGCGAACTCGATAGCAAACAGGTGCTGTGAAGGGAAGTTGCAAAGAGCTTTGAAGAGAGAGTTCAAGAGAACGTGAAATCGCTGGAGTGGAACCGAAGAGAGTTGACGTAACCGGGTAACTAAATTTCCTAATGTCGCTTAGTTGTGGCTACAGGTAATGTTACCTGTGGTTGTGGTCTGCGCAGGGCGTTTTCGAGCTGGGAACATGATTTTATAGAAATGTGGTCACACTTGTGTATATGCGCATACCACATTTACGCATATATCATGCACTTACACATACACATTCGGCGAATTATTCATAATGCTTTTTCCCATCAGATATAAATATTAGCGGTTATATTGTATGCTATTTGTAGCAAAATAGTACTTGGAACTGCAGTGGATTGGAGAACGTGTTCTCATATGTTCGGCCTTTATTCAGAATGATTTTGCGTCTGACCTAAAAGGCATCTTTTGCGGACCACTACTTGTAAATCTCAGTGCTTCCATTCTAACAAACTGCCTCAACAGTAACAGTAAGTGTTCGGCCCCATAGTTTCAAGGCTTGCTAAACCTCGCCAGGATTTGACCCCCGTTATGGCGAAACTTGTTCGCATCACTCTTAATTACTCCACTTGCGTCAGCAAACCTCATTTTTGGAAATCAAGTGTGAAATGAACAACTGAAAACAGAACATGTT